TCCAAATGCCTGCCACTGTTATTTCTGGAGCTCTTTGGGCTAAAACAGCATCATTCCATTACTATCTTTTAGCTAGAATGTTATAGCAGCTACCAAAAAGGGGCAAAAAAAAATCAGTATAATATAATGCCTCATATACTTAATGATGATGGAGTCAGTTAACTTGGTATTGTATGAAGTTGAGGGGTGAAGGAAGGTCTGAGGTACAGGCAGGGAAAGCCACCTTCCCAGCCTTTGAGTTCATGAAGTGCCCAGGGATGGACTGCTATGGTAGGAATTTCCTACAGAGAAAGAACTTCATGCTGAGGCATGAAGAATGGGCTCCTGCCTATCTTGATAAGTCAACTTCCCTCTCCAAGCCATCCGCAGTTGTTTTGCACGATTATCACGAGCTCAAACTTCCCCTTCTAAGCAAATGCTCTTAATTTGGCATCTCCAGACACTCTTACCTGTGCTCCAGTTAATATGCTTTATGTGACTACCAGACACTCTTGCTAAGTACTGTCATCACTATAAAAACATGTTTAAAATGGAATTTGTCACCTCCCACCAAAAACCAGCTTTAATTGCAGCTTACAAATGTCAGTAAATGGAATCATAGTTTCCAGCCTAATAAGTTTGGAGTCATTTTCAGTTCCCCTTCCTTCATCTTCTCTTCCAGTCATTTAGCCCTTTCTTTCCCACTTGCTCTCCACTTTTACTGCTTTAGCAGCACCTTTCCCAGGCCTTGTCACCTTACATTTTGGTTACTATAACTTAATAATATGACTCCGAAACATTTCGCTTACTCTAGCACAGTGATTTTTCTCCAAAGTACAGTTTTCCATCATGTCATTCTACAAGTTACATTTATGTTTTATTAACCGATAATCCACATATCATAAAATTTACCTTTTTTGGCTGGGCATGGTGGCTCATGCCTGTAATCCCAGCACTTTGGGAGGCCAAGGTAAGTGGATCACCTGAGGTCAGGAGTTCAAGACCAGCCTGCCCAACACGGTGAAAACTCATCTCTACTAAAAAAAAAAATACAGAAAATTAGCTGGGCTTGGTGGCACACACCTATAATCCCAGCTACTTTGGGAGGCTGAGGCAGAAGCGGTTCAACCTGGGAGAAGGAGGTTGCAGTGAGCCAAGATCACTCCACTGCGCTCCAGTCTGGGGGGACAAGAGCAAAACTCTATATATAAAAAAAATTGACCTTTTAAGATAATTTAGTGGTTTTCAGTATATTCACAGAGTTGTACAACCATCACCACAATCTTATTTAGAACATTTTCATCACCCCCAAAGTGAAATCCATATCATTAGCAGTCACTCTGTATGTATCCCTCCTCCAGCCCTGGAAAGCACATGTCTACTTTGTGTCTCTATGGATTTACCTATTCAGGACACTCCATAGAAATAGAGTAAGACAATGTGTGGCTCCTTGTATATGGCTTCTTTCACTTAGCCTGTTTTCAAGTTTTGTGCATGTTGTGTATGTATTAATGCTTCATTTATTTTCATTGCCAAATAATATACCACTGTATGGGTTTACCATATTTTGGTTATGCATTCATCAATTAATGGATATTTTTGTTGTTTACATTTTTCGACTATTATGAATAATGTTTCTAGGAACATTTGTGAGCAAGTTTTTAATACAGACATATGTTTTCAATTCTCTTGGCTATATATCTAAGAATGGAATTGCTTGGTAATAGGGCAATTTTATGTTTTACTTTTTTTTGTATGAGACAGTGTCTTGGGAGTGCAATGGCACAATCTCAGCTCACTACAACCTCTGCCTCCCAGGTACAAGTGATTCTCCTGCCTCAACCTCCCAAGTAGCTGGGATTACAGGCACCCGCCACCATGCCCAGCTAATTTTTTTTGTATTTTTAGTAGAGAAGGGGTTTTACCATGTTGGCCAGGGTGGTCTTGATCTGACCTCATGATCCACCCGCCACAGCCTTGAAAATGCTGGGATTACAGGCCTGAGCCACTGCACCCAGCCATGTTTAACATTTTAAGGAACTACGAAATTACTATATTTTACAAAATGGCTGCACCATTTCACATTCCCACCAGCAAAGTATGAGAGTTTCAGTTTCTCTACATCTTTGCCAACACTTGTTGTCTTTATTCTTCCTATGTGTGGTTTTGATTTGCATTACTCTACAGACTGATAGTATTGAACATCTTCTCATGTGTTTGAATGTCATTTGTATATCTTCTCTAGAGAAATGTTTATTCAAATCTTTTGCCCATTTTTAAATTGGGTTGTCTTTCTATTGTTTAATTTTAAGAGTTCTTTATATACTCTGGAGATTAGACCTTAATCAGATATAAATTTGCAAATATTCTCTCCCATTTTGTGAGCTGTCTTTTCCTGTTCTTGGTAGAGTTCTTTGAAACACCAAAATTTTTAATTTAATGAGGTCCAATTTATGTCTTATTTTATTGCTTATGCTTTTGGTGCCATATTTAATAAATGAAAGGCCACAAAGATTTATTGTTTTACTCTAATAATTTTTTTAGTTTTATTTCTTATGTTGAGGTTAATGACACATTTTGTGTTAATTTTTTATTTCATGTGATATAAAGGTCCAACTTCATTCTTTTTATTGTTATCCAGTTGTCCCAACATTTCTATTGAAAAAAAGTATTCTTTCCTCCCACTGAATAATCTTTGTACCCTTGTCAAAAACCAGTTAGCCATAAATACAAAGGTTTGCTTCTAGACTAAATAAAGACAAGAGTCTTGCCATGTTGCCCAGGCTGCTGCCTGTCTAAATCTTAACTCTTGTCCTGACATTAGCCTTTCTCTTCCCCACAGTCCTACTCCCATTTATTTGTATGTCCATCCTTATGCTAGTCCTACACATCTTGGTTATTGGAGTTTCATGAAAAGTTGTAAAATCAGAAAGTATGTTGAGTCCTCCAACTTTGTTCTTTTTCAGGGTTGCTTGGGGTCTTCTGAGTCCCTTGCATTTCAATGAATTTTAGGATCTGCTTGTTATTGTGCAAAGTAGCCAGATGAAATTTTGATAGGCATGCACTGAACCTGTAGATCAGTTTGGGAATATTTATATTTTAATAATATTAGGTCTTCCAATTCATGAACATAGGGGTCTTTTCATTTACTTAGGTTTGCTTTGATTCTTTTCAATGGCATTTTGTATTTTCCATGTATAAATCTTGTACTTATCTTGTTAAATTTATTCCTAAGTATTTTATTCTTTTTTAATCTATTGTAAATTAAATGCTTTACTTATTTACATTTTTAGATTGTTTATGCTAATGTACAGAATTGAAATTGATTTTTGTATATTGATCTTGTATCTTGCAATCTTGCTGAACTCATTCATTAGTTCTAACCTTTTGGTGGATTTCTTGGAATTTTCTATGTACAAGATAATGTCATTTGCAAATAGAGATATTTTCTACTTCTTCCTTTACAACCTAAATGTCTTTTATTTCTTTTTCTTATTTAGCTGTCCTAGCTAGGATCTCTAGCTAGGACAGATGTTGAATAGAAATGGAAAGAGCAGACATCTTTGTCTTGTGCTGCTCTTGGCAGGGTGGTGGGGAGGCATCCATTCTTTTACCATTGAAAATGATGTTAGCTATAGGTTTTTTGTTGATGCCCCTTTTTCTTCAATGAATTTTATCCCTCACTACTTGACCGGAAAACATTTCTTCCATTTAAATGGAAGTCAAGGTGTCTTCTTACTATCTTTACAATTATCAAACTCATTCCCCCATTAATGTCTTTTCCTGTTTCTCTTTCTCCTGCCTAGAATGTTAGCTCCATTTGCCTAAATTGTTGTTGTTGTTGTTGTTGTTTTAAAGACATAGTCTTGCTCTGTCATCTAGGCTGGTGTGCAGTGGCACAATCATGGCTTACTGCACACTCAATATCTCAGGCTCAGGCAATCCTCCCATGAGCCTCCCCTTTAGCTGAGACTACAGATGTGCACCACCGTGCTAATTTTTTTTATATATTGTAGAGACAGGGTCATGCCATGTTGCCCAGGCTGCTGCCTGTCTAAATCTTAACAACTCCTTGATGCCTCTCTAACTCTTTCTTAACCACTCTTTAACTCTTGTCCTGTCGTTAACCTTTCTGTTCTCTGCAGTCCTTCAGCACTCTTGCCTTGATAGCTTCATTGAAAAGTGAGCTGTATGATGCTCAATTCAATTAATTAAAGAGAAAAACAGGGCTGGTATGACTGTATCAGTATTAGAAAATAATAGGAAACAATTCTTTTTTTTTTCCAAGCCAAAGTATATCCAGATTTATTGAAGATACTTTCCATAAACAATCATGGTATTCCAGGCAGGACATGGGCAGACAATCGTTAACAGTATACAACAACTTTCAAACTCTCTTTTCAATGGACTACCAAAAATCAGAGAGCTACTATGAAACCCAGTAAAGTCGTCATCTGATGCTCTAAACAGGGGAAGTTTAGAGTGAGGGCTGACATTTCACATTTAGCATGTTGTTTAACAACTTTTCACAAGCTGACCCTGACATTCAGAAAGTGAAATTAAAATGGCAGAATTTATCTGAAGATCCACAATCTAGAAATGGAACCACTACTCTTTTGACAAGTGCCATCTCAGTGGCATCACTGGAAAGTCCAGATTGCCAGACACACTGGTAGCCAATGACTGGGGGTCAGGTCCCAACAGATGTCTGAGCTTAAGGGAGTTAAGTCTATGCTAAAAAATGGAAAGGGAGAAGAGGACATAAAAACGAATTTGTTTTTCCATACCACAAGGCTTTTGTGCCAAGGTGGTCATGTGTGTCAAAGTCAGGGAATCCCTGCTCCTGGGAGCCAAGAGGAAGTCTCTCAAAACGAGAAGGGAAAGGTGTTTTCCTCACATCAGTCCAGCTTCAGAGACATTGCATTGGTGACATTATGTCCCTCTCCCAAAAAACAACAATGAAGTGTTCTGTGTGCTGACAACATAGCCTAAAAAAAATTAAAACAAAATTCTGTATTTTAATAAAACTTGATAAAAATAGTATTTCAAACTGTACAGTCACCAGAAGCACACAGTTATCAAAAATGCACACACTTCACTTGGCATCTCCAGCACCTTCAGCTTTCTGTGCCTGGTCTGTTTTGGCATCTCCATTTTCTGCAGGGTTATTCCCCTCCTTGCCAGCATCAGCTTTTCCCTCTTCCCCTTTGGGTACCTTCTCTCCCTCCTTTGCAGGTATCTTTTTAGGCTTGGACTCTGGCTTTGGAGGAGCAGGGTTAGGAGACAGCCTCATGGGTCTTCTCTGTGGTTCATCCTTCACCTTGGCTTTATCTCCTTTAGCATCCCCTTCAGCTCTTCTCTTGGGCGTGGCAGCAGGACGTAGGTGCTGGGCACAGGATGCAGCGGCGTGTGGGCTTTGGCTGGCCCAGGGTCGCTCTCGCCTCTTCTTCTTCACACTCAGGAAACAATTCTTATCCAGCTGGTACATGACTACTGCCCCAAACCAAAGTGCCCACTCCTTCCTCATGTCTAAAACCCCCTAGTCCTTTTTACAGTTTAGCAACCACAAGACTAACACTTTGGGCTAAGCATAGTGGCTCATGCCTATAATCCCATTACTTTGGGAGGCCAAGGTGGGAGGATGACTTGAGCCCAAGAGTTACAGACCAGTCTGGGCAATATAGGGAGACCCTAGTCTCTACAGAATATTTAACAAAAATTATCCAGGCATGGTGGTGCACACCTATAGTCCCAGCTACTCAGGAGGCTGAGGTGGAAGGATTGCTTGAGTCCATGGCTGACTTGAGCCATGATTTGCCATGGTACTCCAGCCTGGGAGACAGAGCAAGGCCCTAAGACCCTGCCAAAAATAATAAAAAATAAAAAGAAAGAAGGAAGGAAGGGAGGGAGGGAGGGAGGGAGGGAAGGAAAAAGACTACCATTTTGATTTTTCACAATCAGGGTTTCTAAAACCTTCCTCCATTGCTATGGCTAGTCCCCATTGACAAGTATTTTGAATATTATTCTTGGAGAAAAGAGGTATTTTTAAAATGAAGCCAGAGTCAAGGAACAAATTTTTTTATCAAAGATACTCAATTATGTTGTCCAACTAAACTATTATCATGCTCTTATAGAATTTCCTAACAGAATTTGAATCAACATCCCCTAACTCCTTTGCTGCTCTCTGAATATGAAACTCATTTACTGTTATACATTTTTTTTTTAAATTTCAGTAGCTTTAGGGGTACAAGTGGTTTTTGGTTACATGGATAAACTGTATAATGGTGGAGTCTGGGCTTTTAGTGTACCCATCACTCAAATAGTGTACACTGTAGCCAATAGGTAATTTTTTATCCCATGTTCCTCTCCCACCCTCCCCCACTAAGTCTCCAGTGTCCACTCTGCACGCCTTTGCATACCCATGCATGCACCACTTTGTCTGCATACCCATAGCTTAGCTCGCATTTATAAGTGAGAACATGTGGCATTTGGTTTTCTATTCCTGAGTTACTTCCCTTAGGACAATGGCTTCCAGTTCCATCCAAGTTGCTACAAAGACAGTATTTCATTGTTTTTTCCAATGGCTGAATAGTATTCCATTATATTTACATATATATACACACACATGTTTTCTTTATCCACCCATCTGTTGATGGGCACTTAGATTTATTCCATATCTTTGTGATTGTAAATTGTGCTGGAATAAACATATGAATGTAGGTATCCTTTGTATATAATAACATCTTTTTCTTTGAGTAGATACCCAGTATCAGTATTGCTGGATTGAATGGTCTGTTACACATTCTTAACAATACATTTCATTTCTTTCCTTTCTCCTTCCTTCTTCCTCCCTCCCTCTCACCCTTCTTCCCTCCTTCCTTCCTTCCTTCCCTCCTCCCTCCCTCCCTCCCTCCCTCCCTCCATTCTGTGTTTCATACCATTATCAATCTTTTAGAATTTTATAATCTAGAACTAACCAGGCTCTGAAATACTTAGCTTATTTTCCCAATGATAAGGAATACACTATTTGAAGGCACCAGCAGCGTACTCTTGGCCCGTCAGAACCTGTTTTGTGGAAGCCTGCTATGGTTTGAATGAAGGTGTCCCCTTCACAGTTCATATTGAAACTTAACCCCCAATGGGGCAGCATTAAGAGGTGTGGCCTTTGGGAAGGCTCCAGTCTCATAATGAGATTAACATCCTTACAGAAGGACTTGAGGTTGAATGGAGTGCTCTCTTGCTCTTCTGCTTTTTCCACCATGTGAGGATATAGTGTTCCTCCCCTCCAGAGGACACAGCAACAAGGGTGCCAACTTAGAAGCAGAGTACAGCCCTCACCAGATACCGATCCTTCAGTGCCTTGATTTTGAACTTCCCAGTCTCCAGAACTGTGAGAAATAAAGTTCTGTTCTTTATAAATCACCTAATCTGTGGTATTCTGTTACAGCAGCGCAAATGAATGAAGCTAAAGCCTATGGCATATGAGAAAGCTTGCCAAGACCTTTGTCCAAACTAATGAAAACTACCGATTTTTTCCTCATATCCAAAATATTAAATTTTTGTTCTGTTTCTTCACATAGTTCATGTCTCACTCTTTTCATTTAAAGTTATTTTTTCAAACACCTTCCACTACTGTCACTAGTGATAGAGAGGGAAATGTATCACATGGGAAATAAAAGCTAACTCTGAAATGCAAACAGCTATTATTTGGGAGAATTTGGGAATTTGAAAAACACAAAATGGATAACAGTTTTGGAATAATTTCTTTTATCTTTCTTAAGGTAGGAACCTCCTTCAAAAGTGAACATTTCTCTGGATTGTTGAGACAACTGCATTAAATTAATGGTTTTTCATATTCCATCCTTCCTTCATCAAAAAAATACTTAACAGCCACTATGTGTCAAGTATCTTGTTGGGTACTAGAGATAGAATAGCAATTAAAAATAAGTCCACCAGCTGGACACAGTGGCTCATGCCTATAAATCTCAGTATTTTGAGAGGCTGAGGAGTGAGGATCACTTGGACGTAGGAGTTCATGGTTACAGTGAGCTGTGATCAAGCCACTGCACTCCAGTTTGGGTAATAGAACAAAACTTGTCTCTAAAAAAATGTAAAAAGGTACACCATCATTACCTTCAGTTGAACTTAGAGTCAGTTTGCAGTAGAATGCAGAGATGGCCCCATACTTCACCTATCCCTGTAAATGTGTCCTTTGCCTGCAACTTTGTAGTGCCCTCCCACTCTGACTCTGGACTTGTCCATACGACTAACTTTGGCCAACAGAATAAGATAGAATTAATGGTATGCCTGTGCCTCCTCCAGGAGCCTTTCATATTTCCTCTTACACATCTGCCACTAACATGAGTGCATGCCCGGGATAGCCTTCTGGAGGATGAGAAACATGTGCAGCAGTTGCTCCAGTTACCCAAACCAAGGTCTGGCTAGATCAACCAGGAAGCCAGCTTATCTCCAGATACATGAGTGAGTCCAGGCTTTACAGTTGCCCTACCAACCTGCAACTGACCCCAAATACATGAGCAAAGACTTATTGCTGAATGTCACTGATATTTTGTAGTTTTAAAAAATTAAACAACATTATTGTGGCAACAGATGATTGACACATTGCTTAATCATAAAAAAAAAAAAAAAAAGGCACATGCACACACAAAAAACTGGCCGGATGTGGTGGCTCACGCCTGTAATCCCAGCACTTTGCGAAGCCAAGGTGGGCAAATCACCTGAGGTCAGGAGTTCAAGACCAGCCTGGGCAACATGGTTAAACCCTGTCTCTACTAAAAATACAAAAATTATCTGGGCATGGTGGCACACACCTGTGGTCCCAGCTACTCGGGAGACTGAGGCAGGAGAATCACTTGAACCCGGGAGGCAGAGGTTGCAGTGAGCGGAGATCACACCACTGCATTTCAACCTGGGCAACAGAGCGAACTCTGTCAAAAAAAAAAACCAAAGCAATCAAAAACCCTATAAAACTGCAATGTGTTCTCTGAATGACAGGGAATACAGAAATATGAATGCATATAAGAGATAGAGTTGACCTAGACTAGTGGGGAGGGAGGTTAAGGAATATTTCTTTAAGGAAGAGATGTCTGAGCTAAGATCGGAAGATATGCAGAAGTTAACTAGGTGAAGGGTAGAGGAAAGAGGTGTTCAAGTCACAGCAACTTCAAGTACAAAGGTCCTGTAGAGAAGGAGTACAGATGCTGAGTTACCTATAAGGCCAATGCAGCTGGAGAATGGAGATCAAGAGGATGCAAAGAAAGGAGGCTGGAATGATAGGCAGTGATTGGAACAAATGAAATGCTTTGTAGATGATGTGAAGGGTTTAAGGACTTGATCTAAAGAACTATGAGAACTCCTGAATGGTTTTAAAATGTATATAAGTTGTTTTTCTCACATGCTTACTTTGCTGTAAAATGGGCAGGGAGTTTCTCATATTGAAGAAATTTGCCCATGAATTTCACAATCTAGTTCGGAAAAAAAGGTATTTATTTATTCATCCATTTAGTCAACGCACATTTATTGAGAGGTTCCAATTGGCAATAAATAAATGAGTCAGAGATTAAATGAATGAACCTGTGTCAAGCAATCTGATTGGCACTCGAGAGTGTCAAAGACAAGATTCCTGCTCTTGTTAAGCTCACAGTCTAGTGGGAAAGATAGACACACAAAAAAGAGACTTCCTTGTTAACCCAGAGAAAGATGACGAATGTGCTTTAAAAGTGTAGAGAAAGAACATCCTGTTCTGTGAGGGTCAAACTGCACTCAATGAGAGTAAAATGAGCTTGAGGAAATTATGGCTCCTATTCTGGCCTGAGAGTTCCTGTCATATCTGATAGTGGTGGTTGAGGAGGAAGGAGGATTGGAGTTATGCTGGCAATGGGGAGCATACAAGGAAAAGAGATCTGGGGAACGTTCTAAGAAATCCATCTCCTAATCCAGGAGTACAGATCACTATTGGCAGTCAGCTATTTTCTTGGGTTCCTATTTACTAGGGATGTTCTTTGTGCATCATCTGGTGGAAGACTTCGGAGTCTAGAAAGATATTTACAATTCTAAATAGATATTTTATATTCTCTCAAAGCTCCCAGGGGTACCTGTATAATAATCTGCCATTTTCTTTTTCTTTTCTTTCTTTCTTTTCTTTTCTTTTCTTTTTTTTTTTTCTGAGACAGGGTCTTGCTCTGTTGCCCAGGCTGGAGTGGAGCAATCACACTGCAGTCACTGCAGCCTTGGCCTCCTGGGTTCAAGTGATCCTCCTGCCTCAGCCTCCCAAGTAGCTGGAACCACAGGTGCAGGCCACCATGCCTGGCTAATTGTTTCTATTTTTTGCAGAGACATGATCTCACTATGTTGCCCAGGTTGGTCTTGAACTCCTAGGCTTAAGCAATCCTCTGGCTTCGGCTTCCCAAAGTGGTGGGATTACTTTGGTGTGAGCCACTGCACTTAGCAGGTATCTACAATTCAAAA